ACCTGGGACCTTTACACTAAATCATATCCCCAGCCTCTTTTCATTTTGTATTTTGAGATCTGGTCTCATTAGATTGCTGAGCTTGGGTTGCATCTGCAGTCCTCCTGCCTGAGCTTCCCAGAAGGCCGAGATCATAGATGTGCGCCACCACACCTAGTGAGGATCCCCATTTCTTTGACATATATTGCTCTGTACATGAGGATAGGATTAACCTATTTAATCAGTTTTAATGCACTATACTGAGTGTTCCATTCTCATTTTATGTGATTACATTCAAATGCTAATCATTTAGATGATTTAGATAATAAGGTTTATGAAATTTGAGGTAATGAGATTTAGATGAGGCTTTTGGATTTTGAGTTGATGCTATAATGAGAGGAACCTTTTGGAGGACCTTGGAGTGAGTGCCTATATTTTCCTATGGGAGTGACATGAATTGTGAGGACCAGAGGACAAACAGTGGCAGGTAGGATTTTGGCTGCAACAATTGTCATCTCTCATTATGTGAGGTTACTTACCGTAGGCAGTAACAGGACCTTGGAGATGTAATTAAAGCTAACATATCAGCTGATTTTAAGCTGGGAAGAGAATCCAGGACTATCTAAATAGGCCCAGGATGAACACACGTGAGCCCTTTCAAATAAGTAAAAGGCAGAGTCAGAATGTTGGGAGTTAACATGCACTGCTGGGAGGAGGAGAAATGCAGATGGCCTCTCAAACCAATGGGGAACCCTAGCCAGCAGCCAGCAAGGAGGGGGGATTTTGTTTTTGCAACCTCAGGAACATGAGGTCTGCTAACCACCTGCACCAGCTTGAAAATGACTCTTTCCTGGAGATTTCTGTGAGGATCCAGCAATGTACTATGATTTGGGCCTTGGAAGACCCTCAGAAGAAGTGTATGTGCTGCCGAAGTGAGCACTCCCTCAGAAGAAGTGCAAGGAGAGAGCAGTAGAGGACTTTAGCAAGATGAATGGGTGTTGTGTTAAGTTGGCAAGTTTGTAGTGATTTGTTATGGGAGGGGTTGGACATTCTCTGTTCCCAATCAGACTATCGACAGAATGATGGCGAAGACAAATGCAGTGAGCGTGTGCATCTCACCGTCCATATTCTTTTTGCAAATGAGAATGGGCCACTGCGGGGTAGGAACAATCAGTCTTGGCTACTTTCATCATCAAATCTTGAGATACGTTGATATGTTCAATATTGTTAGCCTTTTCTGAGAGTAGCCTTTCATGCTTACCTCATACCAAATAACATCTACACTCCTTGGAGGGGCAAGAGCTCTGAAACTTGCATCAACTCCTTCTCAATTCTTTTTCCTTACTCCCTTTTCCATTGTAGTTGGGTTCACACTCTTGGTCCTTCTTAGAGACACATCAACTCATGTACATCTATCGGCACAGTCAATACAACAATTCCTTCCTTTGCACAGCCAATGGGGAATGACAGGTCATTGCTGTGGACAGGCCGTCCTTTGCTTTCTGCATGGTTGGCTTCTGCACGGAGTGGTCAAGCTCTGTGATGAGCAGAGACATTTCCCTAAGCTTCAGATGATTTTTCTTTCTTATTCTGATGTTTTTCTTGAAATAAGATAGATGCAAAAATAGATAAAAGTTCCAATTGCCAAGGCAAGCTCAATCTAGGATTCTTTCACTATAATAGGCAAGTTTCTTATCCTGAAACTAACAGGATTTCCCTCAAAACCTTTCTAATTAAGTCAAAGTGTGCGTACAACTCTACAACTCTGCTACCTCTTTCTGACCTCTCTTTTAATGGTAGATATTTCAAAAGATCTGTGTATTTTTTCTTTCTTTTTGAGACAGGGTTTTGCTAAACAGTTCAGGTTGGCTTTGAACTCACTTTGTATCCCAGGCTGGTCTTGAACTTGCAATGATCCTCCTGCCTCAGCCTCTGGAGTACTGAGATTATAGGTATGTGCCACCATACCCGGCCACTCAATAGGTCTGTTTTTATAAGTTTATTTCAATGAAATTTATTCAGCTACATTACATGTGAGGTGACTGTCTTTGTGAAATTCATGAATGAAATCACCAAAAATACAGTTTGTTTCTTAAATTTATTTTAATTTTTTAGGGATCTTAGAGGAAGTACTCTCCTTGGAGAGAAAAAGCTATTTCTTTCACAAAAGAGTTCACTTTTCCAAGTTTTACAGGAAAACATCATAGTGATGATGTGAATATTTTCCAAATCATAAATTTTGCAATATGCAAATGTTACTTGCTGC